AGGCTGAGGCAGGCTGAGCTGAGGCAGGCTGAGGCTGAGGCTGAGGCTGAGGCTGAGGCTGAGGCAGGCTGAGGCTGCAGGCAGACTGAGGCTGAGGCTGAAGCAGGCTGAGGCTGAGGCTGAGGCAGGCTGAGGCTGAGGCTGAGGCTGAGGAGGCTGATGCTGAGGCAGGCTGAGGCTGAGGCTGAGGCTGATGCAGGCTGAGGCTGAGGCAGGCTGAGGCTGAGGCCGAGGCTGAAGGCAGACTGAGGCTGAGGCTGAAGCAGGCTGAGGCTGAGGCTGAGGCAGGCTGAGGCTGAGGCTGAGGCAGGCTGATGCTGAGGCAGGCTGAGGCTGAGGCTGAGGCTGATGCAGGCTGAGGCTGAGGCAGGCTGAGGCTGAGGCCGAGGCTGAAGGCAGACTGAGGCTGAGGCTGAAGCAGGCTGAGGCTGAGGCTGAGGCAGGCTGAGGCTGAGGCAGGCTGAGGCTGAGGCTGAGGCAGGCTGAGGCTGAGGCTGTGACTGCAACTGCCGTTGCCACTGCGACTGTCATCGCGAATGCGACTACGACTGCGAGAACAGCAGAATTCTACAACTGGATTCTCATCCGAATCTTAAGGGGAATGCTTCCAGATATGCTCCTACACATCGATGTTAGGTTGCTTTGCCGGGATAATTTTATTGCAGGGATGGTGGGGGGGGGGGGTGGCCTTCATGGGGTTGTCATGGTTCTGGGCTGGCCGCTAGCCGGGTGAGGGAGGGGGTATATTTTGATAGGGAAACAGCTCCCCGAAGGGGAAGAAGGGGATTGGAAGAGAAGCCTTCCTAGACCACCTGCGCCCAGAGCGCTGGTGGGATTGGGCATCACATGGATTGCATCACGTAGCCTGCATCACATAGGCTGCACCGCAGCGTGCGCCACATGTTCTGTACCTCGGCAGCATGCACCACGCAGAGTGATTCCACATAGCTTGCGCCACACGTACTGCATCTCCAGAGCGCAAGATCTCGCTGTTTGGTGTCCGCGCTGGCAAGTACTTATTCCCTACTTAGGCTCTGCCTAGAGGGTTCTTACCCTATATCTTAAAGGGGCCGGGCAGTGGTCCTCGCCCCGGGCGATTCCCCTGACATCCGCCCCGCGGTTTCCCCAGTTATGTCTCCTTAGCTTAGCGTTGCTTATATCATCTTAGCTTATCTTATTGAATCGCTTCGCTCATTCCGCCGGCCCTGGAGCGCTATTTGGGGCCTCTTGGGGCCGTCTTGGGGGCTTCTTGGGGGCTTCTTGGGAGCGTCTTGGGGCTCCATGGCGGCGTATTGGGCTCCCCGGGGGCCTCTTGGGGGGCTCTTCGGGGCCCCTTGGGGCGGGAGGGGGGGGTAGATTTGTGTGTATTTATTTGTGTGTCCGCAGAACTGCAGCGTGCCGCATCTTGTTTGTCTTGTTTCTGTCGTCGTCGTCGTCGTCGTCGTCGTCGTCGTCGTCGGGGGTGTGATGGGAAGCATCGCGCTCTGGGCGGCGTGCGGAAGCCACTGTGTGAGAGGGCGCGGTGGTGAGAAAAACAGCTCACCCCACCCGGCTTTCCGGGCTTTCCGGCGTAAGGAGGGCTTCTTCGCGGCACTTGTGATCGCTCCTGGACAGTGCTTTTTGGGCAGGTTCTTGACGCTTGTTGCAAGTCTGTAGGGGCCCCGTTGGGAGTCTACCGAAAGGAGAGCACATTGTAGCATCGCTTGCACTTGTTTGCGTGCTCGGGGGGGCATTTGGGGGCCTCCTGGGGCCGCTTGGGGGACTCTTGGGGGCCTCCTGAGGGCCTCGTGGGGGCCTCTTGGGGCCTCTTAGGGGCCTCTTGGGGCCTCGTGGGGGCTTCTTAGGGCCGAGGGCTCGAAATGTTGTTTCGTGTTCCCTCTCTGGGGCCCCTTTGGGGGCGTTCTTGGGGCCCTTTTGGACCGTCTTGGAGGCTTCTTGGGCCGTCTTCGAGCCCTCTTGGGCCATCTTGGGGCCCTCTTGGGGGCCTCTTGGGCCCTCTTGGGGCGATCTTGGGGGCCTCTTGGGCCGTCTTGGGGCGTCGGGAGCCGAAAAGGTGGAAACTCCAAAATCTTTCAAAAACCTAAGGAAAAGCAATGAATTTTGCCTCCTGGGGCCCTCTTGGAAGTGCTCTTGGAGGCCTCTTGGAGCGTCTGGGGGCTATCTTGGGCGTCTTGGAGCCATCTTGTGGCATGTCGGACCCCTCGTGTACCATCTTGGGGGCCTCTTGGGGGCCTCTTGGCCTTTCTTGGGGCTCTCGGGGACGTCTCGGAGCCCTGTTGGTGCGCTCATGGAGCGCTCTGGTGGAGTCGCCCGGGGATCAGCCGGGACTCGCCCGGGGTACTTTTCGTCCGGGGACCCCCAGGGGCCGCCCCGCGCGCGCGAACTAGAGAATTGTTAACCAGTTACCGGAGATCTTAGCACGCCTCTGGCCCGTTGGGCCGGCGAATTTCATCTTAGCTTAGCTTAGTTTCATCTTAGTTCAGGTTTATCTTAGCTTAGCTTATCTTCATCTTAGCTTCGCTGAGCTTTAGCATAGCATAACATAGCATAGCATAGCGTAGTACAGCATAGCGCAGCACAGCATATCATAACAAAGCCCAGCATAGCACAGGATAGCGCAGCATAGCATATCATAGCATAGCATAGCATAGCGCAGCACAACATAGCACAGCGCAGCATAGCATAGCATAGCAGAGCACAGCATAGCATAGCATATCATAGCTTAGCATAGCACAGAGCAACATGACATATCATATCATAGCTTAGCATAACATAGCATAGCATAGCATAGCGCAGCATATCATGGCATACCATAGCATAGCATAGTGCATCATAGCATGGCATAGCATAGCATCGCGTAGCATAGCAACTAATGCTGCTTTCCTAGGGGCTCCAACTTCTAGGTAGGGTCGCACTGGGGTAACTCTACAGGCAACAATGTACGAACAAAAGAAACACTGTATAAACAATAACTGTCGAGTGTCCGCGCGGATTTGTTGGATCGGCGCTGGACCCCCTCCCTGCGGCGTCAGAGGACTCCCAGCACCGATTCGAGCAATCTGCACGGATCGTCGAACGTTTATGTTTATGCCATTGTTTCTTCCTTCAGATTTGCCGAGTTGCCGGACGTCTGGGCCGATCAGTGAGAGAGGTCATCTCGGGAGTGGAGGGGCGGGAAGGACGAGGGGCCACATCGGAGGTGGGACCGCAGGACCCATCGACACGAAGAAGTTCTACGCGATCCACAGGCGCAGCCCTCCGTTTCCACTCTGACCAAGAGGGACGAGGAGGAGGACGTGCATGAGGAGGAGGAGGAGAATGAGGCGGAGGAGGAAGAGGAGGAGGAGGAGGAGGAGGAGGAGGAGGAGGAGGAGGAGGATATGTTTTTCGTTGTGTGTGTATGTTTCTGCCTCTAGAGCACATTTCGTGTCCTGGAAGCGTCAACAACTGCGCCAGAATGGAGAACTGGCCAGGGTGAGCCCTGCGAGGGATCCAGGGACAGATTTTGAACGACATTTGGTCGGGAGTATTTCGGACACTATATTTTTCCGAGCCGTGCTGTGTTGTTGGGTCCTCGTTTCGAATCCGCAGCGCCGCACGTCTTCTTCGCCTTCCCCCTCTTCCCCTCCTCTTCCTTCGCTCTCCCCGTGTTCATTTTGGCACATCCGTCACACGTTTCGTGCTCCACCTACGGCCTCAGTGGGCGCGCGCGCGCATGCCGCCCTACGTCAATTTCGGCACGCTCTGCACGCGCTTCGTGCCCTCACAGGGAGCTCTACCTTCGGCCAACACGGGGCGTGAACACTTGCGCTGCCCCATGCGTATCTTTGCACACTCTCAGCAATAGGGAGCTCCACCTGCGGCCTCACTGGGCGCGTGCGCATGTCGCACGACGCCCATGCGGCACACCACTCACACGTTGAGTGCCCTCAGCCGGAGTTCCACCTGTGGCCCCAGTGTGCGCGCACGTATGCCGATCCACGCCCATCTCGCTACGCCTCCATGGGGAGCTCCACCTACGGCCCCAGGAGGCACGCGCTTATGCCACCCCACGCTAATTTCAGCGCACTCCTCACACGTTTCGCGCGTCGATAGCGACATGCACCTAAGGCCCCAGAGGGCGTGGGCGCATGCAGACGGAGCCCATGCTGGCACACCCCTCACATTTATGCTGTTTTTGGCACACCCCTCATACGTTTCGCTCTCCCATAAGGGGGCTCGACCTGTGGCTCCAGTGGGCGTCGGCGCATGCCGCCCCGCGCTCATTTCGACACACTCAGCCACTTCCGCTCCGTGCTGCCACGGGGAAATCCACCTACGTCTTCAATGGTTGCGCGCGCATGCCGCCCCACGCCCGTTCCAGCACATCTCTCACACGTTTCATGCACCCCGCAGTGAGCTCCGCTTATGGTCCCAGTGGGCCATGAGTGGAGCTCACTGTAGCGTTGACAGTTTGGCTCAAGACCGAGACAGGGAGTTGTGAAGCCCGGTAAATTTCCAAGCGGTACAATTTCCAATTGTCCCATGTGCTCGCGGCTGCGGGTAAACCGAGGTATCTCTGGTTCCTGCTTTCGCGAGCACTGCCATGGCGGCGCACCACCAGATCAGGCCGCTAGTCAGCGACACTGGCTTGACCCAGGACGCCGCGCGCCTCGATATCGATGACGCCGGCATCGAGGCCGACGAGGTGGGAACCGCCGCAAAAACAGCACCACCAGCACTGCCACCACCATCATCATCACCAGCAGCGACGATTCCGATCTCTATGCCCGAGAATCTGTTGCAGGATTTTGTCGCGTAGGAGGTCCTTCAGAATTTTGAATGGATCCATGCCGCTGATATCGATGGGAGCTCCCCGCGCACCGTTTCGATCCCGTACCTTCGGACATGGCTTGAACTCGAGACGATCTACGACAAGTTGACCTACGGCACGGCGACAGCGGACCCATGGATAATGCCTGCCTTGGCGATGTACGAGGGCCCGGAGACTGCGGAGATGATCATTGCAACCAGGGGCGGACCTTTCTCGGGAGTTTAGGTCTCAGGCAAACTGAAACGACGCCGACAAACAGCCAGTAGAACTCTTCATGCGGGCGGTCTGTTCGGCCGCTCAACATTGTGGAGCAGAGATCCTGGTCATCCTCCGGGAGAGGCGCAAGCTGAAGGCCAGCAAGCTCCCTTTGCACAAAGAACTTGTGCATCGTGCGGTCCAGCTTCTTCATCATTATAGTGCGGCCAGCGAGTTCGAGCTTGCGCAGTGGTGCAACGTGTTCGGCGCGGACATTCTCACCGAGGAGCATTTCTTCGGCCAAAAAACAAACGGCCGTCCATGTTGCGCTACGGCCCATCGGGGGCCGTAGCGTATACCATGCAACAACCAACGCCAGACGTCGTGGTATACGCTACAGCCCATGGGGCCGTAGGTGGTGTGGTGCCATTCTTTTGGGGGGTCCAGGGGGCGAAAGGCTTGGGATTGGCTGAAGGGCAGGCGCGTCGCGGTGTGGGCCCCGGAGGACCTGGCCGCCCTGACCAGGTGTTTGGTTTCTTTGCTTCGACGTGCTTCGCCAGATATCGGAACCCGCTCTCTGTGGCTTACGAGGGCTCATGGAGTGGTGGTGGCGCCCGCTGTTGCGGCACAGCTCTTATGGCGTCGCGTATGAGAGGGTGCACGCCAACGGCGACTCTTTTGCAGATGGTCAGCGCTGGGCCCGGCGGCGCTAGGTTAGTCCGTGCGGGCGTTGCGGTTTTCACCATCGAGCTTGACGGACCTCGTTCTCCTGCTCGGCTCTTCGATCATCGCGCCCTCTGCTCCGGCTTCGAGCTGGGCAGACATACGCAATCGATATTCAGGTGACGAGCCTCCCTGGACTGATGACCCTCCTCGGGGACTCGTCGCTCCAGGCAGTCGTCTCTCGCCACCCCCGGCGAAGCGTCCTCGGCGCGCCAGAGAAGCAGCGGGCTCGCGTTGACCTTTTCTTCCCAGACACCGGCGCCCAGTACGTATGCACATATATGTGTAATGTGTATATAACGTGTATATATATACAGTTATATATAACGCACACACACATATATCTATATATATATACACATGAATAACTGGTGACCGTGACCCCCCCCCGCAAACCGCATTAGTCCCTGGCGCCGACGGGCCTCTTTGAGCTCTCCAGGGTCCTCATCGCCGCCCGCAGCGGACGCCCAGAGGCCGCCGAGACGGCCTGAGGGCGCACCACACCGCCCCAAAAAGTCACATGATGGACTTCCAGGAGGGCCCCAAGAGGCCCACATCATTAATGGCCAGTGTATTTTTCAATGTTTTTCGCGTTCTCGAGTCGAGCTTTCGACGCTCCAAGACTGCCCAAGCAGCTCCAACCTCGCCCCAAGAGGGCCCAAGAGGGCCCCGAGTGGCCCCCCAACGGCCCGGGGGCGCCCGAGACGGCCCAAGAGGACCCAAGAGGGGCCCAAGAGGGACCCCACGCTTTGTTGTTTTCCATCGCGGGTTGCTTCTTGATGGCCCTGGTGCTCGAGACTGACCCCCAGAGGGTCAAAACGCATTGGATGCAGCGGCGGGGTCCCTCTGCGGGGGGGCGGCCCCTCGCGGGCGCGGGGCCCGATCTTCCACCGCCGCTCGGGCGTGCGAGAGGGCGACGGCCTGGCAGACGTCGCAGACTCCAACGCGCACCCGGCGCGCGAAGAGGCCTTCGAGTCCCAGAGGGCTACCTGTCGCGCACCTGTAGCGGTGAGAATCCTTCCAGGGCGTAGCAGTGTTGGTGGGCAGCCCTGCCTGTTGCAGCTGTGGCGTAGGGGGTTCGCGAGGTCTGGGGGGCCATGCGGTCTCCTACCTGCAGCCGTGGCCCCCCCGCTCTGCCGCGTTTCCCGCCCCCCCCCCGTCTCCGGCCATCTCCGCCGTCTGGCCCCCCTTTTGCCCCGCGATGCCGCCCCATCATCCGCGCGCGCTCTTCCCGCCATCCTTGCCTCCCCCCCCCCTCCCGCTCCGCGAGCCCCCCCGCCCCCGCCCCTCTCCCCACCTCGCCCCGCCTGCGCGAGAGATGGGGCATGCCACCCGTAGGCAGTTGAGAGCAATTGAGAGCATATTTGCGACGCATGCGTTCCAATGCCCGAAAGCTCCGCGGCCCGCGCAGGGCGCGGAGCCCGGTCGCCTCCAGCTGCGCACCTCCTGGCCCCGCGGCGGGGGCTAGCGCCGGGGCCTGGCAGGGCTCGAGGTGCGCCCCCTTTTCAGCGCCGGCCCAACAACCCGAAACCTGTTGTCCCAAGCCGGCAATGGCCAAACCAGCAGCGTTGCACGAGAGAGGGGGGGGGAACTGAGGGATACGTGAGCGAGCAGAGGGCTCGTCCAGGGTCTGACGCGTGTTTTTAGACACTGGTCTTCATTTACTCTCTCTGAAGACTTGGCGCCGCTCCTGCCGGCAAATCTCGCGCAGGCAGCCGCCCAGAACGCAAGTGCGTGGGCGGCGGGGGTGGCCCGCGAGCATGAAATGCGTGAATCTCACAGCATCTATCGCGCGCAGCAGGTAACATGGCCAACACTTCTCAGCAGCGCTATCACATGAAATGGCACCTACGGCCTGATCGGACGTGTTCGCACTCCGAGGGGGGAGTTGCCCCGGCGACGCACCCGGCCCCTGCGCAGTGCGGGGCAGGAGTAGCTTGGGCGATTTGACGAGAAGGCGGCGACGTACCATGGGCGCGCGTATTTCTGCGAGCGGCATTCGGGAGGTTCGCAGGTCCCCCATCAGGGGAAACACGAGGAGTAACTAAGTGAACCCCTGAGTCACTACGGAAGACGCAGGGTCCAGACGGAGACGGCGGGCAAAGGGCTTGCAGCGTCGGCGGGGCAGCAACGGACCCCCCGAGGACGGCGAGGCCCCTGTCAGGTCTGCGCAGTGCCTCACTCTGCTGGGCCCACCAGCAGCCTTCGAACGTGGCGAGCCCACCAGCAGCCCTCGAAAGCGGCGACAGCTTCGCAGATCGCAGCGCCCCAAGGACGGGGAGGTCCCGCTCTGGTCCGCGCGGTGCTTCGCTCCGCTGGACCCGCCGGCAGCCCTCGAAAGCGGCGGCCGTTTCGCAGATCGCAGGCCCCCTAGGGGCGGGGAGGTCCGCTTAGATCCGCGCTGTGCCTCGCTCCGCTGGGCCCGCCAGCAGCCCTCGCAAGTGGCGACAGTTTCGCAGATCGCAGCCCCCCCGGGGATGGGGGGGCCCCGCTCAGATCCGCGCGGCGCCTCGCTCCGCTGGGCCCACGGGCGGCCGTGGAAAGTGGCGACAGTTTCGCAGGTCGCAGCCACCAGGGACGGGGGGGTCCCGCTCAGATCCGCGCGGTGCCTCGCTCCGCTGGATCCGCCAGCAGCCTTCGAAGGCGGCGACAGTTTCGCAGATTGCAGGGGTGGGGGGCCTTGCTCAGACCCGCGCGGTGCCTCGCTCCGCTGGGCCCGCCAGCAGCCCTCAAAAGCGGCTGCAGTTTCGCAGATCGCAGCCCCCCAGGGGCGGGGGGGCCCCGTTCAGATCCGCGCGGTGTTCGGCTCCGCTGGTCCCGCCGGCAGCCCTCGAAAGAGGCGGCGGTCGCGCAGATCGCAGCCCCCCGGGGGCGGGGGGGCCCCGCTCAGATCAGCGCGGCGCCTCGCTCCACTGGGCCCGCCAGCGGCCCCCTCGGAAGCAGCGGCAACATCGCGGATCGCAGCCCCCCGGGGGCGGGGGAGCCCGCTCAGATCCACGCGGCGCCTCGCTCCGCCGGGCCCGCGGGCGGCCCTCGAAAGCGGCGGCCGCCTCGCAGGTCGCAGCCCCCCGGGGGCGGGGGAGCCCCGCTCAGATCCGCGCGGCGCCTCGCTCCGCCGGGCCCGCGGGCGGCCCTCGAAAGCGGCGGCCGCCTCGCAGGTCGCAGCCCCCCGGGGGCGGGGGAGCCCCGCTCAGATCAGCGATGTGCTTCGCTCTGCCGGGCCCGCCAGCAGCCTTCGAAAGCGGCGGCGCCCGCGCAGATCGCAGCCCGCCCCGGGGATGGGGGGGGCCCGCTCAGATCCGCGCGGCGCCTCGCTCCGCTGGATCCGCGGGCGGCCCTCGAAAGCGGCGACGGTCGCGCAGATCGCGGCCCCCCCGGGGGCGGGGGGGCCCCGCTCAGACTCGCGCGGTGCCTCGACCCGCCAGCAGCCCTCGAAAGCGGCGACAGTTTTCGCGGATCGCAGCCCCCCGGGAACGGGGGGGTCCCGTTCAGATCCGCGCGGTGCCTCGCCTCGCTGGGCCCGCGGGCAGCCCTCGAAAGCGGCGGCTGCTCGGCAGATCGCAGCCCCCCAGGCAAGGCAAGAGGAGACAAGAAGGAGGGGGGGGCGGGGCGATGGAGACCGATCGCAACCACTTCGGACCGATCGTCGACCACGTGCGTCGGACGGATCGCATCCAGTTGCGATCGGTCCGAAGTGGTTTCGATGTTCTGCTTTGGGTCGCTTCAAACAAAGTTCGATTTATTGGGGTATCATGAGAGCGCTTCTGGGTGCACTGAATTCCCTTGAGCCGCCCCAAGGGAACATAAAAAAGCGGTTGCGATCGGTCTGGTCACCGGCGGCCGATCATGATCTCAGCGAAACGCATGCATTTGAGCTCAAACGTGGCCATGATCCGTATCCGATTTCTTGTGTGCGATTATTAGGCGATTCGTATACGAATCCTACGTGATTCGCATGCGATTCCGATGTGTTTCGCATACGATTCCAATGTGATTCGTCTGAGGAACTCGCCAGAATGCAAAAACATTTTTTCCCCAAACAGCTTGCTGAACGGGGTGCTGTTGTGATAGAAACTAACTCCGGCCGAGGGAAGTCGGAGCAGAGACATCCTCACACAAATTTGATGGTCCGGGCCGTTTCGCTTGAGACATCCTCACATTTCTCGTTTCTGAGTTGGCCGGGATTGGCCGTTTCGCCTGAGACATCCTCGAAAAGTTGCGCTCCGGGACGCCGCGCGAGAGGTGGTCCGGGCCGTTTCGCTTGAGACATCCTCGAAACCCTGAGCCCCGAGGTGCCATGCGAGAGGTGGTCCGGGCCGTTTCGCTTGAGACATCCTCGAAACTCTGACCTCTGAGATGCCCTGCGCGAGGTGGTCCGGCCCGTTTCGCCTGAGACATCCTCGAAACTCTGACCTCGGAGATGCCGTGCGAGAGGTGGTCCGGCCCGTTTCGCCTGAGACATCCTCAAACTTCTGAGCTCTGAGATGCACTGCGCGAGGTGGTCCGGCCCGGCCGGCCCGTCTCGCCTGAGACATCCTCGCAACTCTGAGCTCTGAGATGCCGTGCGCGAGTTGGTCCGGCTTGTTTCGCACAAGACATTCTCGCAAATCTGAGCTC